TCAGTTAGCTATCTCTCGGGTACTGAATAATCTATACAATGGCAAGTCTCTTCACATACGAAGATGACGTAAGACCATTAGGCTTCTGGTCTCAAGCGGTGTACTCATCGTTGATTACATCAAGTCAACGGACAACCTAGCGGATTCGTTCACCAAAAGCTTGCCGCAAGATCAAATCATTAAATCATCTAAGGATAGGCTTATTGCCTACCACGAAAGAGGATGTTTGATGAAAATCCCATCTACACGATTGGAGATCCCAAGACGTTGGTTCAAAGGGACAACTAAGTCAAGCAAAATCTGAGAAAAGCACTGAAAAATGCTCAACTTGGGGGAAAAGGAGATCTGAGAAAAGCACTGAAAAATGCTCAACTTGGGGGAAAAGGAGAGTATCTCTCGAATATTCATTTTCGCCAAAGTTTATTCCTTGCAGATCAAGCTGAGTCTTCCATATAAATAGACGTCTCCTCTCTTCTCATTCGACTTACCGAAAAAAGCAGAAAAAGCTTAAGCAAAATATTTTCTAGCAAATCTCTCTCGTCTAAATATTGTAAGTGTCTCGATCGAGAGTTATATCGTAGTTATTTCAGTTGCAGATTCTATTATGGGTGCTGCATAATAGTCTCATCACGGTTATATCCTGGGATTCAAAAGTCGCTTCATACGATCACACCTTACCGATGATTTATTGAGTTAAGAAAAAAGATCATATCTCAACTCCGTGTTTTTGTCTGTTTTCAATCGGTTTTCGAAGTCTCGTTTTTACTCTCTTACTGTAACTTATCGTTTATATTATTATTTATTTCATTCAAAATTTTGATCCGGATTTTTGCGGTCCTACCATACCTAATACCATGTGTAGAATGAGTGTAACGTGAAGCTTCACTAGTATATCTTTCCACCGTGTGACCATCTTATTCGATTCATCAACAAGACGATTCGAAATCGTCTAGTTCTAATATTCGTAATCATTTTAAGTTTTTTATTTTTTTCAGTAATTTAGATATAGTTTTGTTGTAAATAACTCTTATTTGTTGATTAATAAATTTTAAATTTTTATTAATGCAGACTTGTCAAAGGAATTGCCCAAAACGATAAACTTCTCAAAGCATGGTAATGAATCTTTGGTGGAGTTTACTTACCCCTGGATTCCCCCGAGATGTTCAACATGCAGCAAATGGGGGCATCTAGCGTCAGCCTGTGTGATTAAGCAGAAAATTTCTGAAGAGGGAATCATACCAGAACAGATTTCGACCACTGAGTTGCAAGTAGAGGAAGCTGTACCTCAAGAAAAAGACCCAATTGTTGTATCACCGACAGCACAAGCTCCCTTACCGCCTGTGTCTGAGGTGATTACACAAGAGAAAGTCAATGTTCCGGAGGAGGAAATCAAGACGCAATGGACTAAAGTCTCGCCAGCAAAGGCGAGCCGTAGCCCGACAAAAACAAAGGATCTGGAAGCAGAGGATTCCCATATCTCAGCTTCTAAGTTCTCAGTTCTGAGTCAACCAGGAGAGGAGGGAGAAATTGTTGAAATTGTGGTGGAGGGGTCGGTTGAAACTCAGCAGCAAACAAACCCTAAAATCATGTCTCAGCCACATGAAGTGGTGAAACAAACAGAGATGCCGCGGAAGGAGAATGTTGACACTAGTTCGGTGAGACAATCCCTACCCAGAAACTCAAAAACAAAACATAAGTTCTTTGTGGAGAATTCTACTCAAGCAAATAAGGATACCCTTACTGTTGTGGGGAAAAAAGTCTCCTCCAAAAATCCCTGAATGTCGAATTTCTGCTGGAATGTTTGCGGATTCAACAAAACCTTAAAACATTCCATAGTTCGGGACTGGGCCCGGGATACATAGATGCAGTTTGGTTATTTACTTGAAACAAGATTTAAAGAAGGTAAAGCTGGAAAGATCATTGGCTCAGTCTTTAGAGATTGGTCTTTCATGGCGAACTATGAATATCATCATCTTGGACGCATTTGGATTGTTTGGAGACCTACTATTCGGCTGACTCCAGTGTTCAAAAGTGATCAGATCGTGACTTGTTCAGTGCTTAGGGATGGTGTGGAGGAAGAGTTCTTCTGCAGTTTCGTTTACGCGTTGAATACTCTTGAAGAAAGGAGGAGTTTGTGGGAAGATTTGAAGCATCACCAGGATTCACCAATGTTTAGAAACAAACCTTGGATGATCATGGGTGATTTCAATGAGATTTTGGAGGCTGAGGAGCATTCCAACTTTGAGAACTCGCCGATTACCACATCAGGAATGAGAGACTTCCAAGAGGTAATTCGGTATTGTTCACTATCAGATATGGGAGGGCATGGCCCTTTATTCACATGGTGCAACAAAAGGGATGAAGGTTTAATCTGCAAAAAACTAGACAGGGTTCTAGTGAATGATACTTGGCTCTACCGTCATTCACAAGTCTACTGTGTCTTTGAGGCAGGGGGTTGCTCTGACCACCTTCGATCTAGGATACAATTAGAGGTGCAGGATAATCGGAGAAAGAAGCCTTTCAAGTTCATTAATTCAGTTGGAGGAATGCCTGAATTTGTTCCATTAGTGGAAGAGCACTGGTCCAAATCAGATCCTTTATTCCACTCCACATCTGCCCTTTACAGATTTTTGAAGAAGCTGAAAACCTTGAAACCGGGGATTAGAGATCTGAGCAAGAGGAAGTTTGGGAACCTGCCTCTACGATCAAAACAAGCTTATCAGGACCTTTGTGATAAGCAAGCGGAGACTCTCTTGCAACCAACACCAGAGCATATTCAAGAAGAAGCTGATGCTTTTGAAAGGTGGCAGGCTGTAGCGACGCTTGAGGAGGAATTTTTCAAACAAAAGTCCAAGCTCCATTGGTTAGAAGTGGGGGATCAAAACACAAAGACTTTCCACAATGCTGTAAAAATCCGTGAGGCTCAGAATGGCATAAGGGAGGTTCAGTGTCCGAATGGAGATATTGTGAGAACCCAGGGGGAAATAAAGCAAGAGGCTGAGAGATTTTTTCATGAGTTCCTCACTCATAAATCAGATGACTTGGAGGAGCCAACGGTAGACATATTGGGGGACCTTTTGGATTTCCGATGCACTACTGAGGACTGTGAGATGCTTGTGAAAGGGGTGACCGATGAGGAAGTTCAAAAAATTCTGTTTTCGATGCCAGCAAACAAATCACCAGGCCCTGATGGGTATACAAGTGAGTTTTTTTAAGCTGCTTGGCCAGTTATCAAGAAAGATTTCACAGTGGCCATTCAATCTTTCTTCATTAAAGGATTCTTACCAAAGGGTATCAACTGTACCATCTTGGCTCTTATACCAAAAAAATCAGAGGCAAAAGAAATGAAGGATTACTGCCCCATATCCTGCTGTAATGTTATTTACAAAGTGATCTCTAAACTCATTGAAAACCGACTAAAGAAGCTGATGTCGCAGATTATAGCTCCTAATCAATCTGCATTTGTGGAAAACAGGTTGTTGATAGAGAACCTTCTGTTGGCAACTGAGCTTGCAAAAGATTACCACAAGGAGTCTGTCTCTCCAAGAAGTGCTTTCCAAATTGACATATCAAAGGCTTTTGATTCAGTTCAATAGCCTTTTTTGCTCAAAACCCTATCGGCAATGCAATTCCCACAGCAATTTATACACTGGATCCGCCTTTATATAACCTCTGCCTCATTTTCTGTTCAGGTTAATGGGAAATTAGCTGGGTTTTTCAGAAGTGACAGAGGTCTGTGGCAGGGTTGCTCTTTGTCCCCTTACCTTTTTGTCATGTGTATGAATTTTCTTTCCAAGATGCTTGATGGAGCTGCGAAGAGAAGAGAAATTGGCTATCATCCTATATGCCAGAACCTCCCTCTAACTCACCTCTATTTGCTGATGATATAATGGTTTTTACTGATGGTAAGCGGCGATCTATAGATGGTATCTTGAAGGTTTTTGGTCAGTTTGCTCGACTCTCTGGTTTACGGATCAGCCTGGAGAAGTCCACAATCTTCATGGCTGGAATCCCACAACAGGTTACGAGTGATATTCTCACGCACTTATCTTTTGCCTCTGGTCAACTTCCAATGCGATATTTAGGCCTTCCGCTCCTCACCAAGAGTATGTCAGTAGCAGACTACAAGCCGCTGATTGAAAAGATCAGAGGTCGTATAAACTCTTGGACGGTCAGAGCACTCTCGTACGCTGGGCGCCTGTAATTAATTCAGTCATTATTGATAAGCATTGCCAACTTTTGGATGAATGCTTTTCGGTTAATGGGTGCTTGCATCAAAGAGATTGAGCAGCTTTGTGCTGCATTTCTCTGGTCAGGACCTATCTTAAACTCTAAGAAATCGAAAGTGGCATGGAATGTGGTGACCAGAAAGAAAACTGAGGGTGGATTGGGATTAAGGCCTCTCTAAGGAAGTGAACAGAGTTTGTGGTCTGAAGCTTATTTGGAGGCTGCTCTTCCCTAGCCATTCGCTTTGGAGATCTTGGATGCATATGTATGTGTTGCGCAAGGAATCCTTTTGGGCAATAAAAGAAACTCAAAGCAGTGGCTCTTGGATGTGGTGAAAGATACTTAAGCTGAGACCTCTAGCTAATGAGTTTCATCGGGTTGAGGTTAGAAACAGCAAGGGCACGTCATTCTGGTATGATCAATGGTCCTCAAATGGTCGGCTTCTTGATACTCTCGGTTCAGGGTGCTGTATTGATCTGGGAATCTCACTTGATGCAATGCTTGCAGAGGTCCTCCGAACACATCGCAGGAGAAGTCATCGGGATACCATCCTAAACAGTGTAGAAGATGATATTGAGAAAGTTAAAGCTCAGCAGACTGATCAGGTGGATGACACGGCTATATGGAAAAGCAGAGTGGATGTTTATAAGAACTGATTTAGATCACATGAAACATGGGCTCTGATTCGGGAAGAGCACTCGCGCTGTAACTGGAGCGATCTAGGTTGGTTCAAATTTGCAACTCCAAAATACTGTTTCTTCTTTTGGACGGCAATGCACAACCGCATCGCCACTGGAGATCGCATCCTGCAGTGGAATGCAAATGCTGATGCCACATGCCCTCTTTGTCAACACCTCTTTTTTGCGTGCGAGTATTCAAGGCTGGTTTGGGAACCTCTGGCAAAGGACATCCTAAAGGAGAAGTATACTACAGATTGGGATCAAAATCTGAGTATATTGAAGAGCCGTGCTTTCAGTGGAATAGCTCAGTTTTTCATCCGATACACTTTCCATGCCACCATTTATGGTTTGTGGAGAGAAAGAAATGCCATAAAGCATGGAGAAACCCCTTCCCCTCGTCAGCGACTAGTAAAGGTTATCGACAAAGCTGTTCGAAACCGCCTCAGCACAATCCGGCTTAAAGGAGGAAGAGACTATGAGAATGGACTTGTTTACTGGTTTGACACTAGAGCCTAATGTATGATTTGGTTTGAATCTCATTAAAAACGATGCACTTGATGTAAAAATGGTTTTTGACTGAATACAATTTTACATTCTTTTAAAAATAAATAAATAAATAAATAAATTTTATATTTCAATAAAAAAAAATTATTCTCATAAATATTCAAATTTTTGTGACGCCAATGATCTTTAACAAAGAAATAAATAGTTTTATAGCTAGGATTTGTTGAATCACTAATCCTTTAGACAACGAGATTGTCACACTACAGAAAATGTTTATTTTACATCACTTATCAGTATCACAAATTCAAATGCTACTATTTGAATTACTTATTATTAAATGATACAAAATATGTGGTTTTACATCAATTATGATAATTTATACTGTTATTGAATAGTTTTATATTCTTTTCATATTATAAATATTTTTTGTCATCTTATAAGTGATACAAATCTATCTTAATTGACACCACTTTTACAAATTGATACAAAATATAGATTCACATCAATAGAATAAAACGATATAATTATTAATATTTGTTAACATCACTTATAAAACAGATATATAATTAACATCATTAAATAACTGATGGTAGTAAAAAAAGTTATTTGATTATCTCCATTTCCAAACATTTTTATATTTTATTCCACATCACTAACTAATGAGGAGATGAAAGAGAAACCATTTCTATATATACTGGAATTTATGCCCAACTTATATTCAAGTGAAATTTTTGGTTGATTTTATTAAATGATATTTTATTAAAATTATTCATAAAAATGAATAATATTTTCAAATTATTCATAAAAATGAATAATATTTTCAAATTATTTATTTAACATACGAGATAATTATGATATAAAAAACATTGATACACATATAAAAAAATCAGTATTCTTGTTGAAGTAAATTTTTACATCAGTTATATTAATTTATGCAAATATTTAACAATTTTTTTTTTGTAAACTGACATAGGTTATCATTGATTATAATTATCGACACTAATATTTACATTTACCATTTAAATTGATGTATATTTTACATTAAAACTGATGTAAAGTATTTGTATCACTATTTGTAGAGTCATTTATTTAAATGATGTGAATATTTTTTACATCATTTATAACGAATATAAATTTGTAAAATAAGTGATGTAAAACATAATATTTTTTGTAGTGTCAGTATACATAAAATATTTAATTTGATTACTTAAGTAGTCCTCTAGCGACAAATCTTCAACTACCACAAGCTTTCACGACAAGTTTTAGCTTTCCTGATAATTTATTCATTTCAAGTTTTTTCTTTTTTCATTTAAGCATAGTTTCTTTTGAATATCTTTTCTCTTTGTTAATCGATTTATATTTTAAAAAACTTATTATAATTAATATTCAAAAACTTGTGACATCATGATCTAGACGGTACATAAATAGTTTTAAATTTTGGATGTGGTGAATCACTAATCCATTTTTCAATTAATTATTAGGCCACGAGATTGTCAGTACAAATTAAAAACTCCATTTGATTAATCAAGTCTCTAGCGACAAATCTTCACCTACCAAGCTACCACTAGGGCTAGAATTATTATTCGGTATTCAGTTTTCGATCTTGATATTTGATTATATCCGATTCGTAAAAACCAAATATCCGTATAGTTCGGATTCGGATCCGGATAGTGAAATTAAATATTCGGTTATTTCGGATATGGTTCCGAATAATATAAAATTTTGAAACCGGATATCCGTTATCCGTTTGTTAAATATTTATTTATTTTTGATATTTATTCATTTTTAAAAGTTAACTTTAAAATTATTTTTGGTTTAACACCTTTACATATAATTGAAATTCATATTGCATGATAATTTTCTATTTCAAATTGTGAAAGAATAACATAAAATAGATAACACATGAACATGAAGATAAATTAACTGCTTTATTACTATTTTCTCTTTTGCTATGTAAACTTTTAAACTTTGTGCTATTTGAATGCTACTTGAATGTTTTTTAATTTTTGATATTTTTAACTTTTGCTATAATGATATATTTTAATTATCTATGTTATATTATTATAATTTAAAAAAGGTGAAGATTTTTTTTTTTAAATCAACAAAACCGGATATCCGTAAATATTCGGTTCAAACTGGATATTCGTAAATATTCAGTTCAAACCAGATATCCAGAGTTTTTGGATCCGGATCCGAATAGTAAAATTAATTATCCGACGAATCCGGATCCGAATCTAGATACCTTGAAAAGTTTGAATATCCGGCTCCGTTCAGACCTACCTACCTCTAACCTGCTTTCTTCTTTAAATGTGTTATTTGATTATGCACGTTAACTCCTAATTAAGTACTACATGAGTCACACATAATCCAATCAAATCAAATCAAATTATCTATCCATTTCCTCCTAAATTGCTAATTCACAAATTATTAGTCAATCTCAGTAATCATATTTCTCTGTTTATTATCTATGCAAACTATTAAAACTTCCTAGTTTTGAAAGTTTATTAGTTTTTTGACATAACGGTGTTTTGGGATGATAATATTTGCGGTGTACGCTATTTACTGTTTTGAGGAGCATCAAACTGTTACTGATGCAGCTTATGTGCAAGATTCGAGGTTAGACTTAATGCATAAATATATTTTTCAAATATATTCATTTTTTAATATTTTTATTAACATACTATTTTTTTTTAGGTTTTTGGGGTTTTAGTATTTATTATAAATTAGAATTAATCCGCACACAGTACAGAATAAATTGTTATTAATTATCTTTTTTTTTACTTATTTTAAAAATTAATTTTAAATTTATAATTAAGTTAAAATTTGTTAGCAATAAAATAATAAATATTACTCGGCTAATATTTACGTATATACATATTTATTGAATAATTATTTGAGTTAATTTTGTTGTACAGTCTAATATATAAGTAATTTTAAATATGAAAAAAGTCTGATGTTAATACATACATACTTATATACATACCAACATGGTTTGTGAATGTTTTTATTTGAAATTCTATTATCACTTTTGGTTAATAAATTCAATAATATATTTTATTAATAGTTATATATAAGATTGTTAAAGCAAACCAACCCGTCTACTTAATCTGTGTTGTAATGGACAAAAATATTTTTAGACACACCCATAAAGAACCATAATTTTGAATGTTGAAAATATATTTTAATTATTTAAATTGATTTTTGAATATAATATACATAAATTATGAAAATACAAATGAAAAATGTTACAAAATTCTAAATAGATTTATTTTTGGAATATATATGGATTGGTTATTATTTTAGTACTAGAATATATTTGATAATATCTTAATAAGAATAATAAGTAAAAACATTAAATGCATTTTTGATTTTTATCCATATTATTTTTTATAATTTCAAAAAATAATTTAATATTTTTTTCTATTTCATTTAATATTTTATTTATAATAGCTTTTCATGTAATATCTTACAAAATAGTTTTTTTAAAGAATTTATAAATAATAGTTTATAGATAAAAAAAGTTTGATTTAATATTCCAAAAATTTATGTATTTTGAAAACTAACCCATGTTTTAAATAGTTGGAAAACTAACATTTTTAATATGTAAAAAAGCTATTATATCCACCATGATTTTTGATAATTTACAAATACAAAAATAAATATTTTAATTTATGATTTTTGGAATAAAATAAATTTGTAAATAAATATTTGTTGACTATGTAAATCACATAAGAAGAATCTCTGCTCGGAGGTGTTTTATTATTGATGTTAGAATCGAATTATAATGAGGAGGTTAAAGAACATGGTTATTTACTCTGAGTTCTCTAATGCTCTCAAGAATTCTCGGTGAGGAATCTCTTCCTTTATATATACAATATAAGTCAGTTCTATCTTATATTTCATTTTCCACCTTGAACTCAAAAAAGGATATTCTCCCTCAAGATTTACGGAAATCTTCTTTTAATCTTGGAGGTCAGCGTTATCCACAAACTGGGCCTAATTGCTGACATGACCCTTTTTTCGGCTTCCTGTAACTGTTTACGAAAATCGAGGAGACCATCATTGCCACTACGACTATAAACGACTCGTCTTCTCATATATTCTTCTCTTTCCCACTTCTGCTATTTCTCAAAATGAATCTTTTATAAGGTACACCACCTCTTTTCCCCAATTTACAGTTTTCGCGATTTCTGGGGTTTTGATTTGTTTCTTTGAAAATTAGCGCCGATTAAGTCACCCACTTCCCGATTTCTTCCATGGAATCTTGTTTTATTTCTGAAAAATGTCTTTGGAATCTTCTTCTTCAAGTGATTCTTCTCGATTTCGCATTGGGGTCTTGAAAGGCGATTCATCCCGAGAAAGTTAACCTACTCCAGCGTCAAAAATTCTGACAAGGGCTCTCAAGATCATCAAAGCTCACGTGACACAACACCTTCTGAAATCGCAGTTAACTCGAACCCAGGCAGAGTTGTCATCGAAGTTCTGACTCTCCGTGATGAGGTCGAATGAGAGTCTGATGCTCAACCTCAACCCGACAAAGAAGAGATGGAAGAAGATGCTGAGGAGGGTAAAAAGGAAAATGAAGATGATGATGAGGAGGCAGAAGAAGAAGATGCATTCAAGGTTTTGGGAACGTCAAGGGTAAAGCCCATCCGAAGGTCGGTTTCCAATCAGGTTATCCTTACTGCATCGGGCTCTCATCTTGCTGGAGAACCTGGTGAGGTAGGCGATACATAGGTGGTCTAGGGTTTACCATTGGAGGCACGTAAGGCTCGTTCAAGAACGTTCTGTAGTTTTCGGTTCGAATTTCTTCGTAGAGATCGCGTAGGTACTGCTTCTCTCTGCGTCAGGTGGCTTGAGGAGTGTTGTAAAAACCTTCCTCATAGTAGGGATTTCGATTTATGGGATCCATTGCTTCTAAAATGGAAACAAAATAACTGAAAAATAGAAATATGCAAAAAAAAGGGTTCTAGAGTCGATTTACTAACCTTTTTTAGGGTTTTGCGGAAAAGAAAACGCGTGTCTTCCCCGGCAACGGCGCCAAAAACTTGATGTGGTCGTGTGGTGAGGGTGTCAAGTTTTACCCTAAATGAAATCAATAGCCGCAAGTGCACAACTGATCGATTGTAGTACTTAGGGATCGAATCCACAAGGAAGGAGGATCTTTCCTGCAAAAGCCTTCGAAAGAAATATAAAGTGAGGAAGTCTAGAACCAGGCGAGTTTAGTGAGGGTTTTGGTGGTGTGTTTAAAACGTAAAAAGGAATCTTAAAGAGAGAATACAGGAATTAAAATGACCTAATAACTAAACTTAACGAAAACGGGTAAAAATGAGAAAAACGGCTAGACCTAATTGCTAAGTGAAAATCGATTGAAAGAGTAAAGATAATAAACTAAAGCTTGAATGAAAGTCGGTGTAAATCTATAAGAAAGAAAGCGCTGGGGTTCAGGGAAGTTTTCTCAGGGGTATGAACGATTCAAAACATTGCTAGAGGGTAAAATTGATAAGATCTTAGCTTAAACTTTTCGAACTGGAGTCACGGACGTATGAATACGCCACTGTCGTGATCATAGACAACTATCTCTCTCAAGCCTGACCAGTAGGTTTCCACTCTGGCCCTGGAAAAGAAGAGGTGCATTATGTTTAAGACTCGTCAGTATTCACAAATCGCCCATAGGTAGGTTTCCACTCCTATGTTTTTTCTGCTCTCCCAAACTAGATCTGACACCGGATGAACACTTTCGTGTCACCAAGCATCTGGATCAGATTGTAGTTCATGACGCTACCCTCATGCAGTAAAAACAAATTCAGAAGAAAAAGTTCTAAGATTCGGCTCAATAGCTCATGGAATCCTCATCGAACACATATATCCCCATTGGAAATCCCTTAGACCCAACAATAAAACTACTCAGACATGATAAACGAAATCAAAAACATAGTATTAAAAAGTAGTACAGAAACCGAAATTGAAAAAGAAAGAACAAGGGTTCAAGAGATAGATCTCTCTCTCCCTAAAACCTAAAAACAAAACTTAAAGTAAAATTTCTGTAAAGTATTTCGTCTCCTGTCTTCTTTTCTTAAAAACGATCTAAATGATATGTATTTATAGTCTCCAATACTCTCTGGTGTATAGGGTTCCGGAATTGAGGCTGGAAAAATGATACAGGCTTCAGAAATGTGCCTTCAAACTCGGAGTTAGCTGGCCGCGGTCAGGATGTGCGTGACCGCGGGGAATGGATGGCTGGCCACGGTCGAGATGGTTGTGACCGCGGGGAATGGCCTGTTGGCCGCAGGTGGAAACGCTTGCCGGCTAGTTTACGGGACATCTTGCTCTTCGCGTATCTTTTGATTGAACCGTTGGATTGCCAAGCTGTAAAGTGTGCTGGAAAGCTGATACTGCCATCTTTGAGATCTCCAAATTTGAGCTGGATCAGATGGTGAGAAGGCCTTTAATCGGGGGTGAACTTCTGACGGTTTGACTCTGAGCTAAAATCTGGTCTTCTATCCATTTTGTTAAGCTTTTCCCTAAGTTACCTGAAAAGAGTCTTGGAACTACAAATACTAGAAAAACGTAATAAAAGTACTAAAAAACAATTAAAAACATAGAAAAAGTATTTCAAAACGATCCATAAAAGTTGTCAAAACGGTGTTATCATGTTCAAGACGCTTGACACGCCAATCAATGTGAGGCTTTTTGAGGAGTTTACCTTGTTCAATGTCACGGAGCTCAAGCCATGGTATTTTTTGGCTAACCTGAAGCCCGGATACAGTATTATCACCGATCCCAAGGAGAGTAAATTTAGGAATTGGGAGACAAGATACTTCTTTGTGAAAATCGAATCGGCCTCAGTTGCATGCCCGAGAGTTACTCGATGTCAAACTAGCTGGAACGCTAATATTGGTAGTTTTAATATCTTTGAAGTTCCTTTCCTTAGCTTGGCTTTCCTGACCAATATTTTTATTTTGCAGTTCGGAACCTGGTCTTCAAAGTTTTAACCAAGCAGTGGCTTGATCTCGCTGAGTCTTTATCTAGTCTCGGGAAAGAGCTTTGGCCGGAAGTTGAAGCTGAACGAGCAGAAAACAGAGCTCGCCAGAAAACCAAGAGTAAGTCAATTCTTTTTTTGCCTCGATCATTCAAGGATTAATACTTATCTTCGTTTTTCCATTCACAGAAGCCACAACCTGCCCGAGTAGAAATAGAGCTAGGCTGAAGACCAGGCGATAGATAATTGTGAGAAAGAACCTTCTTAATATTCCAGACTACTCCCGAGTCCTTGATGACGTTATGCCGGTGATTCCAGACAAGAGGGTCGGGACTGGTGACAGCAGGTCAGCGGAGATAGAGGTCGTTAAAATTGATCCTATAGAGACGGAGACTCATGTCTTCGAACAGAATCCCGCAGAGGAGACTTTCACTTCTGAGCCAAACCATACTGGATAGGGTCACGACATGGATCTAGACCTTACTGGTGAAGATCATGGCATTGACCCAAAATTTATCGGTGACGATCATGGCACTGTCTCGGTTCCAGCTAACAAAACCTTAAACGTTGAGCCTCTCCCGTCTCAAGAGACCATAGGAAGCAGGGAGCAATCCGCCGATCTACCGAGACATCCTCCTGCTTGCGAGGAGATACGGGTCTTGAACGAGATGTTTGTGATCCATTCAGAAGCTCCTTATGCGGACGAGATCGCCGCTTCCAATGCTAAGCTGGTCGTAGCTCGGGATGGTTTGAAACTGATGCTTCATTAAAACTTGGGTTTCATCTTGTCCGGAAGCCGACATTCTGAATCGTTGTGCAGGCAAACCCCCTAGGACCTCGCGTGCTGTTAGAGCTATTGCTAAGGTCGGGTCTGGCTCCGAGGAAACTTGCCCTTCCAAGCGTCACTGATTAACGCCTCCGAACACCCTCTCCTTCACCTACTATGGCGAGGTTGCCCTTTGAAAATCCGAATCGGGGCCCTCGAGGTGCCAGAGGTGAAGGACCTTGCTCTAGAGCAGAAGTACAAAGATTATGCCAAGTCGAGCTTCCAGGTTCGTACTCTTGTACTGGCGTTTTCTTGTATATATTGTTGCTTTTGGATTTAACTCTTTTGCTTTACTGTTCAGACCAAAACCCTTGGTAATGAGCGGCAGTGTCCGAGTAGCTGGTTGATGTGGTGTGGTCGTGTGTCGGGTTGTCAAGTTTTATCCTAAATGAAATCAATAGCCGCAAGTGCACAACTGATCGATTGTAGTACTTAGGGATCGAATCCACAGGGAAGGAGGATCTTTCCTGCAAAAGCCTTCGAAAGAAATATAAAGTAAGGAAGTATAGAACCAAACGATTTTGTGGGGGTTTTGGTGGTGTGTTTAAAATGTAAAAACGAATCTTAAAGAGAAAATACGGGAATTAAAATGACCTAATAACTAAACTTAACGAAAACGGGTAAAAACGAGAAAAACGGCTAACCTAATTGCTTGAATGAAAATCGATTGAAAGAGTAAATAAACTAGACTAAAGCTTGAATAAAAATCGGTGTAAATCTATAAGAAAAGAGGCGCTGGGGTTCAGGGAAGTTTTCTCAGGGGTACGAACGATTCAAAACATTGCTAGAGAGTAAATTTGATAAGATCTTAACTTAAACTTTTCAAACTGGAGTCACGGACGTATGAATACGCCACTGTCGTGATCATAGACAACTATCTCTCTCAACCCTGACCAGTAGGTTTCCACTCTGGCCCTGGGAAAGAAGAGATGCATTATGTTTAAGACTCGTCAGCATTCACAAATCGCCGATAGGTAGGTTTCCACTCGTATGTTTGTTTTGCTCTCCCAAACTAGATCTGATACCGGATGAACACTTTCGTGTCACCAAGTATCTGGATCAGATTGTAGTTCATGACGCTACTCTCATGCAGTAAAAACGAATTCTGAAGAAATAGTTCTAAGATTCGGCTCAAAAGCTCATGGAATCCTCATTGAACATAGAAATCCCCATCGAAAATTCCTTAGACCCAACAATAAAACTAAGACATGATAAATGAAATCAAAAACATAGTATTAAAAAGTAGAATAGAAACCGAAATTGAAAGAGAAAGAACAAGGGTTCAAGAGACAAATCTCTCTCTCCCTAAAACCTAAAAACAAAGCTTAAAGTAAAATTTCTGTAAAATATTTCGTCTCTCCTCTTCTCCCTTTAAAAACGACCTAAATGACATGTATTTATAGTCTCCAATACTCTCTGGTGTCTAGGGTTCCGGAATTGAAGCTGGGAAAATGATACGGGCTTCAGAAATGGGGATGAGCACGACTGCGGGGAATGAGCGCGACTGCGGGGAATGGGTGGCTGGCCGCGGTCGCGATGATTCTGACCGCGGGAAATGACCTGTTGGCCGCGGGTGGAAACGCTTGCCGGCTGGTTTACGGGACATCTTGCTCTTCGCATATCTTTTGATTGAACCGTTGGATTGCCAAGCTGTAAAGTGTGCTGGAAATTTGATACTTCCATCTTTAAGATCTCCAAATTTGAGCTGGATCAGACGGTGAGAAGGCCTTTAATCAGGGGTGAACTTCTGACGGTTTGACTCTGAGCTGAAATCTGGTTTTCTATCCATTTTGTTAAGCTTTTCCCTAAGTTACCTGAAAAGAGTCTTGGAACTACAAATACTAGAAAAACGTAATAAAAGTACTTAAAAACAATTAAAAACATAGGAAAAGTATTTCAAAACGATCCATAAAAGTGGTCAAAATACGGTGTTATCACTAGTTTACAGCTAGGTCAGCGGCACCCTTAATTGCATCAAGTCCATGGGGAGTAAGGGTGCAAAGGTCCCTCCGGAAACTGTTGACCACTTTACGCAGGAGGAGGAAAGACTTCGTGAAAAGCTGCCGGCAATGGAAGTGGATGAGCTGGAGGCTGAGGACTTCAAAGTGTCGCCCGTGTCTGATGACGAGCTCCCGCAGGTTCCTTTGTTTAAGGAAATATTAAGCCACCAGGAATTAACCAGTGGGGTTTGAATATCGAGGAAATATCGGAGAATCCACTGGACGATCAAGCTGCTTCTTAACTATTCTCTCTTTTTTTTTGGTGGATTGTTATTATGCCGGGTCGGCGTTGTTTTTGAACTCAGTTTATTATGTATGTAAATCTTCTTCGTCCCTTTTTCTGCAAATGAGATTGCATTTAATTTTTTTTTTCGGATATAGAAAATAGTTTGCATAACAAAAATCGTGAACTTGAAAGAGTCTGCGAAGGATTCGGCTTATTTAGCTCGTAAGCTTTTTAGTTATAAACCGGAGTATGCAAGACTGGTCTTCACTTATTTAGCTCGGAGTTAAAACTTGCTAGGGTTGCAGGACTGGGCCCGGTTTTTGTTTAACAAGCGGGTACCACGGCATCATGTGGATGCGTGCGAAACAGGTTTCGGCTTAAAATCGAACATCTGGCCAGGATGTAGATGTATATTACCAAGGAGTTTGGATGAAAGCGCATACATGTTTGGTGTGAACATAAAGAGCGAGTTCGGAACTCGGAAAATAGAAAAGGCAAGATAAATAAATTGTTTTTACTGAAGTAGCTGGATTCGAGAACAAGCAGCCTACGTACCCCTTAAAAGGAGATAAACCATTCTGTAGTTCTAATTACATGAAGTGTTTGTCGAGCGTAGCTCGGCTTTGGTTTTTTTTTTCTAACTCGGAAGCTAGTAAAAGTACCTCTTAAGGTTCATGGAATTTCATGGCTGAGGTATCGGGGTGCCATCCATCTTCATGAGCTCGTAAACGCCTGGTTTACGACTCGCATGATCTGATATGGTCCTTCCAAGTGTGTGTCGAGCTTGCCGGCATTCTGTTCTTCAGTATTTTAGAACATTTTGCAAAGAACAAGGTCACCATCTTCAACGAACTGGCCCCGAACCTTCTTGTTATAGTATTGAGCTTTGAGATGTTGGTTACGCGTTGTTCTTTGAGGAAATCAAGGTTGTCGAGCATTATGTCGTTGTTGAGACTTGGTCTTTGTGTCAACATTGTATGCCGAATTCTGAGTACTTCGAGTTTGGCTGGATTTATGACTTCCATACTGTACGCCAAGGAGAACGGAGATTGTTTGGTGGAACGTCTTGGCATGGTTCTATGTGACCAAATTACTCCATCGAGTTCGTTTATCTATGTACCTTTTTTTTCTTCGAGTCGCTTTTTGTGGCCATCAAGTATATTTTTGTTTTTTGCCTCGGCCTGACCATTGTCTTGAGGGTATCTCGGCGTAGAAAAACTTAGTCGGAATTTCCATTTGGCACAAAAATCGCTGAGTAGGTTGGACGTAAACTGAGTGTCATTGTCTGTAACGATTTCGTAAAGGATGCCATGCAGACAGATGATGAACTTCCAAATAAACTTCTTAACGTCGGCATCATGGATTTTGACAAAGGAATCAGCTTCGACTCATTTAGTCATGACCATTTCTGTCCAGTAGACTGATATAATGGTCCGATGATATCCATAGCCTAACACATGAATGGGTAAGGGGCAGTGGACGTCATTAGGAGCTTGGTAGGGAAGTGGATCATAGGTGCATGCCTTTGGCATTTATCACACTTATTTGCGAATTTCTCGCAGTCTTGCAGCATAGTAGGCCAGTAATATCTGACCTTCTTGATTTTAAAGGCCAGAGATTGTCCGCCGGAGTGATTTCCTTCTGCGCCTTCATGCATTTACTCATAATAATATCGATTTCTCGCCCCGTAGTGCAAGTGAGGAAAGTTCATTCTGCATTGCACCGGAATAAACTATCGTCGACCATTATGTATCGTGCTACTTTATTCTGTAGTCGCCGAGCCGCCCATCTGCCACCGGGAAGTTTGCCATCAGTGATGTAAGCTTTAATTTCGGCTGTCCAATCTTCGGGCTTTGATATTGATAAGTACGTGCTGATCGGTGGTCGCGTCGTGATCATCTTCCAGGTCGTCGAATATTTTGGCATCGGGGTTGAGATTAAGGAGATCGGAGTTGACCTCGAAAGGATTGGCTACCAGGATAATTCTTGTATCAGTAGCTGTTTCCTGGTGTCGCTGGTACCGATAAGGAGGTGCCGTATTTGGATGGACCTCATAATCGCGTTTGCAAGTTTCCATACCAAAATCACAACAGCATAAGCTAGTTTTTCCAAGGTTGGATATCGTACTTCAGCACCATTCAGGGACTTGCTGACGTAGAATATAGGTTTTTATTCGCCTTGGTCGTCCCGCACTAACACGCCACTGACTGTTGTGGGTGAGATGGCGATGTAAAGATAAAGTGTTTCTTTGTTCACGGGCTTAGCGAGGATAGGAGAAGTGGACAGATATTCCTTGAGCTGTTGGAATGCGGCTTCGCACTTCTCATCCCATTCAAGGTGTTTGTTTCTGCGATGATGCTGATAGAATGGGAAACATTTATCGGTCGTCCTGGATATGAATCGATTATGGGCGGCGATCCGACCTGTGAGTTTTTGGACTTCGCGCTTTATTGTTGGAGATGGAAATTCGAGCACGGCGGCGATCTACTTTGGGTTAGCCTCTATTCCGCGCTTGGTGACTATGTAGCCGAGGAATTTGCCAGAGGTGACGCCGAATGTGCACTTGGCAGGGTTGAGCTTCATGCTGTATTGATTAAGTATTTTGAAGCAAGTGTGGAGGTGTCCGACGTGATCGGTTGCTCGAAGGGATTTGACGAGCATATCATCAATGTAGACTTCCATGGTCCGGCCGAGCTGACTCGCGAAACGCTGGTATGTTGCGCCGACATTTTTGAGGTCAAAAGGCATCACTTTGTAGCAGTATATGCAGCAATCATTAACAATGAAGGTCTAATCTCGGTCCGCAGAATGCATCAAGATCTGGTTGTACTCGGAAAAGACATCCATGAAGGATAGGAGTTCGTTTCCCGTGATTTTTTCGACGAGGCGGTCAATCTGGGACAACGAGAAACTGTCATTGAGATAAGCTTTGTTGAAGTCGGTGAAGTCCACATCAATTCTCTATTTTTCGTTTTTTTTTTAACTACTATTGGATCAGCTAGCCAATCTAGATAACGGACCTCACTGATTGATCTGGCAGTTAACAGTTTATCAGATACTAATGTAAGCACATTAACATTTCATAGAACATGTTATACAATTGTAATTATATTAATTGTGTTAGAGAAGTGATAACACTATATAACATGCTATTATTGTTAACATTATATAAAATACGCATTGGAATAATTGTTATTAGGGATAGTTTCAGATTTAACATATATTTTAAAGTCAAACACCAAACTGACTTCTTCTTTTTTCTCTCTCCAACTTTTGCCATTTTCTCACAATTTTATCCTTCCCACCTAAACTATTAACGAAAATGCCATTATACATCTAATATTTCGATTTTTTTTTAATTTGGTTAAAGTCTCTTTGGTCCTCCTAAAGACCATTTATTTACAAAAATGACATCTTCTTCAATTCCTTCAACCACCATGAACAACCACGAAATGAGAATAAATTATTCTCAACCAATTTTAAAGCTGTAATAAGTAAATATCTGAGCTCATTCACTCATAACCTTGCTCATTCTTTCATAATTTCTTCTCCAAATTAAAATATCTGGGCTAAGTTACAATGCGTCGGGCCATGCATTTTTGGTGATTTCTGGTTACTCGACACCTGGGTTGTTTATTTTCGGAGAAATCCTTAAGTCTACCTTAAAGTTACTTTTGTAGTTTGACCAAAAACTTATAGGTCATTTTAGTGTTTGACTACTGTTTTTTTAAAAATTAAAAAATTAAAAAAATTCCGAAAAATTTCAGTAGACTTCCCAAAGAAGTCTACAAACTGTAGACTTCTTTGTGAAGTCTACTTATATTTTTCGGTCAAACTTAGAAGGAATCCTTTTTTGAGTAGACTTCATTGTGAAGTCTACTCAAAAAAATTAATTGCAAAAATAACCTATTTTGTTCCGTAGACTTCTATTAAAAAAGTAGACTTCAAAAGTAGACTGTCAGAGAAGTCTACTCTTACATGAAGTCTACAGTAGAAGTCTACTTTGTTAGTCAATGCATCGGTCAAATGCTAAAGTAACCTTTTTGGACGGAAGTCTACTTCTGAAGTCTACTGAAGGAAAAGTCAACAGATTGGTCAATTGCAAAATGACCTGTTTTTAGTAGACTTCATTATTAGACTTCTCTATGAAAAAGTAGACTTCTCCTCCAGTCTACATTTGAAGTCTGCTATAGAAGTCTATTTTTGACGTTTTTTTTAAAACGCGTTTTAGGCAAATTTATAAAGTATTTTTCAAAATTTTTGGACTAGAATTGCTTCTTAGTAAGTGATTGAAATACCCAGTGAATTTCATTTCATTTCATTCGATATTTATTGTTGAATCAGAAGTTTCTATTTTTAAGCTATTTAGCTTATCAAAGTAGACTTCGTCGTGTAGTCTACTAATGTTCTTTTCGGGAGAAGTCTGCTCTTGATACAAAAAGTCTGTATGCAGTGTTTGCTAATATGGTTTATATGGTTATTTTTTCAGAGAATGGCTCAAATTCCAGTTGTGTATGGAGAGTGGAAGATTGAGGAGAATTCATGGCATTTTGTTGTTGACATGGGCAAAGGTGGAAGAATGTGGTTTTTGAACGATGGTTGCACCTTGGGGGAGCTTACTGAGATGGCGCGAGATGATTATAACTTGGGCAAGAAGACTGAGCTCATCGAGTTAACCTACTCACTACCAGTCTCAATGTTGCAAACTATGGCTCCAGATACACCTCCAATGCATGTCACCAATGATAGACAAGTTTCAAGCTTGATTGCGTTAAGCAGAGTGCATATGATACGTCTTTGTGTGTCCACTCGAGTGGAGATGGATACTGAGGAGAACCAGGAAGGATCAGATGAAGATTTAGGTGAGGAGTCTGAGGAAAATTCAGAACATTCTACCGATGATGAGGCAGACAGTTCTGATGTGAACGAGGATGGAGAAGATGTCGACGATGCAGCTTACTCTGACGGAGAAGATTACAGTGTCTACGGTAAAGTGAAAGATGAAGATGATGATGAAGATGAAGTCTGTATTGAAAATGTCAGAAACAGATATGGTGAAACAGGAAGCACGCCCATGTCATGGTCTGATAATATATATGTTAGGGCAAGTTTCCCTACAAAAGAGAAGCTGTTATCAGAGGTTAGATTGACTGCGATAATGTTAAAATTTGCTTTTAAAATAGAGAAGTCTACCAAGACCCTGTTTGTGGCTAAATGTCGAGTGGAAGGATGTGCTTGGATGGTTAGAGCGAGCGTGAAGAATGATGCATCCACTTTTTGGGTGACAAAATATGTGAAAGACCACACATGTTCAATAACCCATCGAATGGCTCAGCGTGGTAAGTCTACTCCTAAGTATATTGGCAAGCTGTTTATAAGCCATTTGGGCATCATTGATGGACTTACACCAGAACATGTCAGGGTTTCAATGAAGCATATGTTTGGCATCAAGATGGATTACATTACTTCATACAGATCTTTGATATATGCCCAACAATTGGTCAGGGGAACAGCTGAAGATGGATATGCGAGTCTCCCAGCTTACCTACATTCAGTGAACAAAGCCAATCCGGGAAATGTATCAGCTCTTCATGTAGATTCGAATAACAAATTCAAATATCTATTTTTCGCATTTGGAGCATCGATTGCCGGTTTTCAGTACATGAAAAGAGTTATTGTGGTTGATGGATGTCATCTAACAGGGAAATACGAAGGTACTTTGTTGGTTGCCACCGCATAAGATGGAAACTTTCAGATTTTTCCTTTGGCCTTTGGAATTGTTGATGGTGAAGATGATGCTTCATGGGAATGGTTTTTTTCTAAACTGCGTGAATGTGTCTCCGATGGTTATCCTTTGGTGATAGTTTCTGACAGACATCTTTCTATTAAGAAAGCTTGTCAAACTGTTTTCCCATGGGCAAAACGAGGGATATGCTACTACCATCTACAACATAACATAGTAACGAAGTTTAGGGGGAAGCAGTTGCTGTACTTGGTAAAACGTGTGGCTTATGCTTACAACATCTATTACTACAACCGGTACATGGCGGAGCTGAGACAGATCAAGCCTGACCTTGCTGACTATTTGGAAGAAGCCGATGTCTCCCTTTGGTCCCGAGTTCATTTTGTTGGAGACAGATACAATATTAAGACTAGCAATGTCGCAGAGTCTATAAATGCTGCACTTAAGAAGGCCCGTGGCTATCCCATTTCATTCCTCTTGGATTTCATACGAGAGAAGCTCGGTCGGTGGTTTTTAAAACGCAGAGAGGATGTTTTGAGTCTCACAACACATAATACTCGGGGAGTGGAGTATTTGCTGGCAACTCGTGGACATTATGCAGATGCAATGGAGTTGGACCGAATTGACACTTGGAGATACTATGTGAAAGGAGGAACCAAGAATTGTATTGTTGATTTGCAACATGGAATGTGTGAATGTGGTGTGTTTTATATCGAGAAGATCCCATGTTCACATGTTATTGCAGCTGCATTAGCCGGTAGGATAGCTGTGGATTCTCTAGTATGTCCGACTTACTCGAAAAAATACTTGTTTGCTGCATACTATGCCAACATATATCCCCAAATTTCAGAGGTCCAAGGAGTCCAACCATCAATATGTCTGCCACCAGACATTCACCGCAAACCAGGCAAACGGAAGAAGTCTCGGTGGCAATCATGGCTAGAAATTGCTAGGAGGAAAAGCAAGAAGCCAAGGAAGCTGCACAAACTATACAGCTGCTCACAATGCAAGCAACCTGGTCATACCCTACCGAATTGTGTAAGTTGAGCTAAACTCATCTAATATTAAATCATAGTATACAATATTGACAGTTTTATTTACTAAACTTTGTGTCTCTCACTTAGACGTCGAAGATTCACCAGGACAATAACAAGAAGGCTCCGGAATAGGAGGACAAAGCTTCTATTGTTGTCAAGAAGTCTACTATGGAAGTCAACTATAGAAGTCTACTATGGAAGTCTACTGTCAAATTCTACTATGGAAGTCTACTGTCGAAGTCTTCTATGTATGTGATATTTTGTTTACGGTTATGTTTGAAACGACTTCATTTAAGTAACTGCTTTAACGACTTTAACGGTGTGTATAACCGTTGTACCTGTTTGTCTACGGTATTTCTGCTTATAAATTCTCGGGTTTAGACGAATTATAGTTTCATTCCAGACCCTTAGAAGATGTCGAACCTGATAAACTTCAACTCTCTCCCTTCCGACATTCCGTGGGATATCCTCTTAAAAATCACATCTCGTTCATATGCTGCGCTCTGTAAAGCAAGGGTTTTCTCCAAACATCTAAACGAGATTTCTAATGAAAAGAGTTTTTTAAGAGTCGTTGATCTAATAACTTTGACCATTCCATGGGTCTTTGATCAACATGGGAGGGTTGACGCATTCTTTCGGCGCTGTTTGGAGTGTAGAAATCCTACAGCGCAATACCTACGAGGCGTTTCTCTAATCTTCTATGAAGACCGCATCCAAGCAGGGTTAGATTTAATAAAGGTGTCATCAAATGGAAGATGTCTCATGGCTACTTACTCCATGGTTATGTTCTTTTTAACCATGGATGGCAGCCATGATGTATTTAACCACATTCGTGGTCTACTTCCGGCAGAGGCAACAAAGATGAGGAAGACTATGCAGCACATCAACAGGTGTCCGACCACTTATAAGAAGCCTGACGAGTTTCACGAACCGGTCTTCCATGTTTTTGCTAAGGCACAATCAAGGAGTTGTGCTTGTATGAATCTGCCAAACCAGCACTGGATGGATGATGAAAGCCTTGTCGAGTCATATGGTGACAAACTCTGCAGTCCTTGCTTCTGGAAGTTGGAATGTGCCATATTCTGGAAAACAATTCCTGGATTTGCAAATGAATGGCCGCGTTGAAATTAGTTGACTCCATGTTTTATGTTTTTGTATTTACTTATATGTTTAAATGACATTAGTAGACTTCTGTAGTAGACTTCGTTTGTAAACTTATATTTATTGTATGCAACATATTTATGAGTTCTACTAAACTTTTTCCGTATACACTATCAGGAGTGCATGTTCAATAATATTTCACAGGATTCAGTGTTTAGGGTGAAATCGAAACTTATAAATACAAACATGTTAATTACTTAGTAGATTTCAGTACAAATACAATTACAACTTAGTAGACTTTTGTTTAATTACAATATCCTGAACGAAAATACAACATATTTGGCATTTTAATTATACGATAGGTGGCCAAAAAACTTCCACACCTATCATCTACCAATTGCTAAAATGACATGCAATCACATTGAAGGTCATTTATGCAAGTAGCGCAAAAGTTGCCATAAAAATGAAAGTTAATTTTAAATACGGATACCCTAAGCTTTCCTATCATAGACATCTAACCCGGTTGCATCTAGCTTATCATGGCCCCTAGCACCTATTTCGTCAAAGATCTCTGCAGCCATTTTCTCCCTGATTTGTCGAATGTTTTTATCACAAAGTTGCGGAGGAAATGGCAAATCCAAAGCATGACACTCGATGTACTTCAGGCAGTAGACTCCGATCACCACTCTGAATGTTTTGAGGTATCTCCGTACCTGGTACTCGCAAATGGGTGAACGGTGTGTAGGGGAATCTCCACTTGTCTTCATCAGGTGCACAGGTCTGAAGAAGGTAGGGTATCATAACAGCGAGAGGCTCCACAGCTTCGTCAATTTGGGCGTCAGATGCATGTTTGGTTCCCGCATGACTATCCCATATCGTGATATGCCTCGTCACAAATGAAACTCAGATAGCTACCCAATGGTCCCCCCTGATGTGCAACATTGAGTACAAATGGTCGAATTTATAGGCCCACGTCTTTTTAGTCTGGCAGTAGATAGGTAATTCGCTAGTGTAGTACGAATACACTCCAGGTGGTAGAAGTTTGCCAGAACCATCTTCATTCGGCTCAAAGTTTTTGAAGTCATTGTAGTCACGCCTCCAAACCGTAGCAAACATGGAGTTGAGGAAGCAAATTCGGTCAGATACAAACCACTCCAGATGCTTGGATAATCACAGCCTGAGTACGTTAATATAAGCTTCCATGTGCTGCACATTGACGAAAATAAAACATGAGTGAAGTCTGCAAACGAAGTCTACTATAGAATTCTACATATTAGGTCTACGTATGAAGTCTAACTATGAAGTCTAATATGAAATAGTAAAACACTAACCGTATCAGCTAGCCATTTCTTCGGTGTCCGGAGAATGTAATACTAGTCGATCGAAGAGTTTTTTGGACGTCTTGGATAGGCACTGTATAAGTGAAAAAGTTAGACAGGGAAATAATAATATGAGGAAGTCTACTTACATAAGTATAGAAGTCTACTTACGGGTTTGCTTTCACAAAGTTCATTAGAGTGGTATGCTTCGCCCTGACACCGGTTTGATTGAAAGGATCATATCCACGGACACGGCCGGAGTGAGATGCCGATGTTGGAATGATCGCCTTTGCGGTGCTATTTCCTAAGAAAGGACTCTTCTGTGTCGCAGCCAGCTGTCGGTTTCTGGCACTCGTTGCTCGGGCAACTATCTGAGCTGCTGCTCTGGCCTTGGCATTTTTGGCTAGTGCAACTGCGTCGAAGTCAACATCATACGTCTTCGGGTCAATTTCACAAAAGCTAGGCTCGGGGGCCTCTTCTTCCTTCATGGCAGCCTTCTTTTCTTTTGCATCCCCGGGGGCGTTAACACTCTCACTCGCACCAACGTTGACATTATCTTTCATCGGAGCATCTTCTTTCAATGAATTACTCTGCAGTTTATTGTCACAAACATGCATGAATATACAAATGACAACACCATTGCTATAATTTAATAACATGTTTCATCATAGTCTGAAAATTGTAAACAACTAGTTTTTAAAACATAAGTAAATAATCTCACATGGTACATAGCACTATTAAACATGTTCGAATTCAAATGACATTAGTATTAAGTGTTCCTATCTTTTGATGATCTTGTTCGCATGAAATGTTTTTGTATAGGCGGAGGGTTTTCGGTACTAACCCCTTCATGCTTCTTGGATCCAGTGACCTGCTGCTGGGTTGGCTGAACATTGTCCTTAACCTCTTCCTCAGTGTGCTTCGCCGACCCTGTAGTCAACTCCTCTACCGCGCGCTCTACAGATTCAACCTTGTCGGTGAGAAGTTTGATCTGCTTTTCACAGCTACCAAGACCATTCAGCATCTTGGTTGAAAAGCTTTTGAAGCAATGGTCGAAGTGCGCTTTCATAGTAGCGACAACTCCGACCCCTTCATCACCAACGAAAGAGGCGGCAGAGGCAGAGGCTGTGCAGGTTCTCTTGCGACTTGATTCATCTGAGGGTAGGCTCCTCTTTCCTGCTTCTGCCTTGACGATGTGTGCACCCAAAACACCTTCCAAAGACCAGTGGATTTTTGAGAACTTGAAATGGGGGTCATGGATTGCATTGACAATCTTGACGATATCCGGATCCTGTTCCTCATCATCCCAAACTGGAAACATATCCGCCAAGTCCTTAGCCACGCAGCACTGTATGCGAGCCTGGAAAAACACAATAAGTAAATGAATTACTAGCCATATGAAGCCTGGAAAAACTACGTATGAAGTCTACCATTGAAGTCTACTACTGAAGTCTCCCACTATCAAGACTTTATATAGAAGTCTACGCATGAAGTCTGCTCCTGAAGTCTACTTTGTAAATTCATTACTACATAGAAGTCTACTACGGAACAAGACTTCTAAATGAGAATGACTAGACTAATACAGTACCTGTTTTAGCATGTTGGCTTTGACGTTCTTTCGTCCTCTTGATCCTTTGTAAGCCAGCATAAGAGGTGTAGGATCATTTGGCAATGGTTCTCCAAATTCAGCAGCAAAATCCGGCAGAGCATAGTACATCCACACTTGAAGAGATTGCACAAATCCTTCTATATGAATGTTTTTGCTGAGATCTTTCTCCTTAACAGACTTGATCAGATGCTGAAATGCAATTCTTCCCCATGGGAACTCCTTAAAATCTTTGAGATCCAACACTAGTCTGGCATGGTTGACATTTTTGGATAAGCCTGGTCTCGTTGCCACTATGAAACCAGCGTAGATCCCAAGATATCCCAACCGCAGCCTATCATCCAGATACCATGATGAGCAGTTGGAACAAGCTTCAATAATTTCGATAGTGCTTGGGCCCGACTCGACATCGACCCCCATTAGCTCCCAAAATGCACGCATGTCATCGGAAAGCTCAAGATCAGTTACAGCCAAGTCATCCACGTACCCGCAGTTAAGTCCGGTGATCTCCTCAAACTCATGCAATGAAAACCAAACTGGAGTGGTACCAATCAGGCTCCATATCTCGTACCTCTGCTTGCAAACTATCTGAAAGGTCAGCATGTGGTGCACCAGCCTAGAAGTCCAACCAAAATCCAAGTCGTGGAACTTTAAAAAGACACCCAACGGTGACTCGTAAATCTCTTCCCATTCATCCTCTTGTAGAGCTGACTTTAGTGCAGGTACCAGCCTATAATCATCAGCATAATAGCCGATGCTTTTATCCGAGGCTGGCTCACCGCCTTTGGTGTACAGTCTTCTAGGGAATTCAGAGGCCACCATTGTCTAACACAGATTTCTGCATCGACGGTAACAAAGCTCTAATGAGAAAACTAGTTATAACTAACAGTTTGAAACTATACAGGAATGAAGTCTACTTTTACAAAATGAAGTCTACTTTTTGATACAATGAAGTCTACTTTTTCAAAATGAAGTCTACTTTTTCAAAATGAAGTCTACTTTTTCAAAATGAAACCTACTTTTTCAAAATGAAGTCTACTTTTTCAAAATGAAGTCTACTTTTACAAAATGAAGTCTACTTTTGCAACATGAAGTCTACTTTTACAAAATGAAGTCTACTTTTTTGCAAAATGAAGTCTACTATTACCAAAGGAAGTCTACTTTTGCCAAAGGAAGTCTACTTTCACATTCTAAGTACAATCTGAGTCGAGAAGTCTACTAAAGCCAACCGAAGCAATCTAAACATAAAAAAAAACAGTATATGAAGTCTACGGAAGCCACATGAAGCAATCAAAACATCATAAATATTGCATATGCAGTCTACTGAACCCAACCGAAGCAATCAATACATGATAAATACTGTATATGAAGTCTACTAAAACCAATCATCCAAATGGAATCTACAAAGTTTATAGTGTTTACAGCCGTGATTAGATGAAGCCGGCGTCGAGAAAATGCAACCAGATCTGGGAAAAAAAACCTTAGTACTCAAACCCGACGGACAAAATAATTGGAAGATAGAAGAAATAAAGGAATAGCTAAGTATATATCTTCAGAAGGACATCTACTAACCGTTTTGAGGCAGGAAATGACTTTAACCTCCAGCGGCGAAAGCAGATCTGCAAAAAAAAAAAAAAAACCCTAATTTCAGATCTGGACACTAGTGGTTACGAAAACGGAAAGGTGATGAATACGGAGGAGTAGGGAAGCATGAGGGTGTGGTTGGAGGAAGAAAACTTGCCTGAACGGGTTTATCGGCGGCGGTTCTGTAAGTCGGCGGCGCCGGAGAAGAGAAACAGAAATCGCCTTCGACTTTTTTTTTTTAACACGAACTTTCGACGGTTTTTTTTATACGGGATCTGTAAAATTCTTTTATATAGTCTGGTAATTCTGTTCGGTTCGGGTAAGTTTTTTTCCGGTTAAAGTTAGTAATTTTACGGAGTTTAGGTAAATTTACCCGGTTACGGGCAGTTTTTCTTGGTTAAGGGAAGTTATTCCCGGTTTAATTTCGGTTTAAATTTCGGTTAGATTAATTTATTCGGTTTAGCACACTTCAATGTAGAAGTCTACAACTTTTAAAACCTAAATAATAAATTTACTTCTACTTAATTTAAAAACATAAATTTCCATTTAGCAATATAAAAAAATAATTTCTGTACATTTGCGTTACAATTACGGAATTCATGAATGTAAATTTGATACCAAAGTAATTTTTTCTAAATTATAAAATTAAATTTCCAGATTTAATTACTTAGTAGACTTCATTTCGATAAAAGAAGTCTACTATTAGACTTCTTTCTCTCTTTAGTAGAATTCGTCAGGGTGTAAACGGTAATTAGGACATCCGTTTTTTGTTTACTCATACATGATTAAATGGTATTTTCACTACTCCTTTAGGTTATTTCTGCCAAATGTTTTTTCAGGGGTCTACTTTTGTATTCAAAGTCAAGTTTTAGGTTATTTTTAGCAAGAATCCCTTGTTATTATGTGAATTTTGGTTAGCATGTTAACATCCTTATCTGGTGATGAATATTATCGCTGGTCGTTTAAAACAATATCGCCAGTTTATTTTGTCAGAAATTAAATTTTTAGACTAACAGTATTTTCTGTAATTTAGTTTAAATAGAAAAGATATATCTGATCTAATTTTTCTTTTCTTTTTTACTAATATAATTTAGAATTAATTATTTCTATTTGCTTAATGGTCAACTATGGTTATTTATTAATATTTTAATTTACTCAGACAAAATGTGGTACTAATGCTTACTTACTAAATTTACTCAAAAAAAATGCCAACCTCAAAAAATTTGTTTAATCGTTTGATACGATTTTCCCACCCACTAGGCAATCTATATATATAAAGTAAAATGTTCTCTCTTCTCATGATGCCACATCATTTTCTCAAACTCTAAAATTTTGACACATCATCAATTCATTTATTAATTTATAATTTATTATATTTTGTGTTATTATATTTTCATTCTCATAGTAACTATCATACATTAATATAACAAGAATATGAATAGACACTCTTTATAAATAATAGTTTATATATTAATCCATTTAGTCATTATTATTTTAAATTATTTTTTTTATTTATATGAATCAATAGATATGTATAGTAAAACATAAAATTTTAAGATAGCCAGATTTGGATCCAGTTTTGTCAAATCCGAAAAACAAATTCTCGGATCCAAAATTTTTAATATCTAAAAGTATCCAAATTCGTTTTAAAACCGATATAAAACACTAGAATATAACAAAAGACATAAATTTGAAGAAAATTAAAATAATAAATTATAAAATTAAATGCATATAGACGGGTTATGAATATTTGCACGAGTTTCAAAAAGCTCAAGTGACAATTATATCCTTTTCTATTTTAATTATTTTTGTTATTTATAATAGAATATCATGTTATAATTTACAAAATAAAATTTATTTTTTAAAATGACTACTTAAATAATAATTTAGAGAGTGAGAATGCATATTTGTGAAACAAATTGTGGTATCACAAAATGTTAACATGTTCAACCTAATCTTTGAAACATAAAATGGGTGAAGTTCCCCTTAAATAATTATACAGAGCTCAGGTTAGAGATGTGATATTGAGAGTGACTAGAAAAAAGAAAAACCTGAGAAAAATAGAAATTTCAACCGGTCTAATATGTTGTGTGTGGTTCAACATGTTGCATTGATGAGAGGGAGAACATGAGAGGGAAAAGGAGAGTGAGAGGGAAAAGGATAGTGAGAGGGAAAGGGAGAGGGAGAGGGAGATGGAGAAAGAGAGGGAGAGGGAGAGGGAGATGGAGAAAGAGAGGGAGAAGGAGAGGGAGATGGAGAGAGAAATGAGTGTAGAAAAAAAAAGATTATGAATATATTTTGAAAATATGTTAGGGAATTGAGATATTTTTAAATAATTAATTGCTTCTTACATATATTTTTTTTCTGAATGCAATAATAAAGAATTGTATATGTTCCAAAATCATAAACCCGCATAAATATAAAGATATATATAAACTAAAATTGATTTAAAGTTTTAATTGATATATTATTTGATTATTTTTTAAATGTTTTATATAAATTATAAAATACAATAAGTATATATAAAAAATTAAAATACAAAATCTAATAATGAAAAAAATTGATATTGTAGAGTTTTTTCTTAAATATATCAATAAATACAATACAAAATTTCGCGCGAAGCGCGGATCAGCCCCTAGTAAATTTTAATTTTTACTAGGAGAGAACCCGCACATATGCGCGGATCTTGTTTTAATTTATATTTTAAATAATACATTTTTAGAATTTTTTTTGAATTACATTTTTACCATCATTTTTTCGTTTAAAATATTTATACTTTCTTTGATTTCTTCTAGATGATACCCTATTTGTAATCTCTTCGACATAAGTTGTGCCAAATAATCCGATTTTTCTCCTACGGTAATGAGAGACTAAAGATCTACTATTTTAATTTAAGTATAAAAACGTAATATCTCATAGAAAAATTTACCATTTTGAATTTTTTTTTTTTATATATATTTTATTGATATATTTAAAATAAATTTAAATTTTATTTATTTAAATATTTTTGTTCATATACATATTAATATTTATTAATGTGCTTTAATGTTTTTCTTTAAATGTGATTAATTAAATGTTTTTCTTTAAATGTAATTAATTATTTATTTTATTAAGATTTTAGATGGACATGTGGCGCTTTCTCCAATGCTGATGTGGCAAGCAGCTGAAGAAAGTTGACCAAGTTTTATATATAAAATTGTCCGTTAGTAATCATTGTGAGACACGGTGATCCTTGGCTGATTTTCACACTTATCTATACGTAATAATTAAATATGATTTTTTATTAAATAATAAATAAATACGAATCTACAATAAGATATAAGAACAATCAAGCAAAGCTGTGTTCCTCATACACAGCCCAAAGGATCTTCCAACATGGGTTCTCTTGACTTGCCTAACGCTTCATCATTCAAGGTTCTTTCTCTTTTTTTTTTTTTTTTAAAAAAAAATTTGTTTACAAGAACCAAATCAGTAATCATTATCATGTTACATGATTGTGTTGTAATCAGGGAGGAAGTGAAACATTTCTCCTGGACGTGCTTGAAAGTATACTGAAAACTTACTTGAGGAAGAATCCGATGGCGAAGACGGTGTGGGAACTAGTTCAGTCGGTGGACAACGAAAAGATCTCCTACGACCATTTCTTTTTCAGGACATTCAAGGTACGAATCCTCTCGTCAACATTTGGTAAAACTAATTGTGCATTTTCCTCTGGAATTTTATTGTTTGGGTGCGACTCTGATCTAAAGCACAATAAGTTGGTCATTTAGTCATTAAAGCTTGTGTTTTAGATATCAATTATTTTTTTTAAAAAAAAGTTGGAGTTCATTTCTTGAGACTTTTCTTTACTTTACCTTTGTGTTTGTTAATCGTTGATGGGCTAATATATATATGAATTGATTTTGATTTTGATTTTGATTTTTGTTTGTTTCTTTCTTTGGTGGTATGGGTTTAGGTCGATGGTTACGGAATAGACTCCTTGTCGAATTTTTTCATGGATTATGGATACAAGATTGGAGGCAAACTTGATTTTCCAAAGAAGAAGGTACGAGTTCTCTGGCTCTCTCCTCCGGATCTTCACGTTCCCGGTTATCGTCACGGTCTAGGCAACGGCCCTTTGCCACGACTTGTTTTCGCTGAGCTTCTTGTGGACAAACTGAGCTCTGAATCACAGGTATGAATGATCACAAAACATATTAATGTTGCCATTATGAATCTTAAACATTTCTAATAACTCCTTTGTTTGTCTTACTTTAACCATGGTTAATTAGGATATAATAAGGAAGTATTTGAAACCTCAAGGTGGTAAGCAAGCGATCCTTTCAAGCACTTTGGGGTCTTTAATTTGGGAGAAGCCAACATCCACCGACTTCAATCAACTTGCCAAGTATATGTTAAAAAATTCTAATTAATAATCATCAGTATCTTTAATCAATACATTTTTACGTTTTCATATAGTACATTTGATCAAATACAATTGATGTAAATTTATGATGAATTGTCTATAAACGATAGAGAAAGTGAATATGCGGCATGGACGCTTATCCACGGCTACACGATGAACCATCTTGCTTTTGCGGTTCATCGACTTAAACACCGTTTCAGTGACATCAAATGCGTCCAAGAGTATCTCGAAGAGCAGGAATTCGAACTCAACAAGGATGGAGGAGTTCTCAAAGGTTATCTTAACTTATTGAGAATTTACATTTGAATACTTCTATTCGATAACCATTATCTAATTGGATGAAAATATATTTCAGTGAGTCAAGATGGTCTACTATTACAAGTGTCGTTGATGTCGGAGAAACTTCCGGTTGAATTTGCAGACGGTGTAACTGAAACCACCACGGCTTCATACATTGAGTTCGTTCAACGTCTAATTCTTCCAGAGTTTAAAGATTTGCCGTGTGATGAGGTAAGAAACGATTAATTCAAATTAATTGCATTCTTTTATCATCCAAATTTTTCTTATATCATTCAAACTAATTGCAGATCAGAGAATTCCATAGGCGTGAGGGACTCGAGCAGGCTAGCGCCTATCACATAATGGAAAGCACTCGTTTCACAGCACAAGTCTAGAACCAGACTTGTCTTGTTCGGCTCACTATGTCAAATATGTGTATCTTTAAATGTTTGTATGTTAACTAGACCATCTGTGTGCTAGATCTTTATGCTGGTATTTGCTTGTGAAGTGATGGTAATGATGAATAATGGAATTTGTGATGCTTTTCATTTTTCAAATATAATAATTTGTGTGAATGCTATGTATGTTGCTGTGAACATGGGTTTTATTCGGACATTCAAATCACCCAATACAAAGGCTCTTTTTCTTACTGTCTTTAATATTTTTTATGTTTACTTACCACGAGCAAATAAAATATGAACCCAAATATGATTGTTAAAAAAAGGGAAATTATGATTATTTATATCGGGAAATCAACTCATCAGCATGTGAAACAATGTTTTTTTAGGTAAATGAGCTATATATATATATATATATATTATATCGAAGAGTGTGCTATGCGCGGACGTTCTAAGAAAATTTTAAAACTTTTTTGTCATCTAATATTATTTTATTTTTATTACTATGTTAATAGATTTTTCTTTATCAGCTTAAAATTTGTGTTATATTTGATGATTTTTTAAATTCTTTATTTTTATCATCTATGTATTCTTTTAGTGTATTGTGCTTATTTTTACTTGTTTTTTTGTTGTTGTCCATTTATGCAATTATTTTTCTTAAACAGAAGTTATTATCATTTTCAAGTTTTGAGAAGTGCGTACTTTTTAATTTAATTTTTTTTATTATTTCTATAAGTCCTTAGTATATATGTATTGTTTTAACGCAACTCATACAGCTTACTAAGTATATACAATCTAAACATGTCAATTTATGGTGCAAAAGAATGATCATCATCAAAAAAAAATAATAATAATGATCATCTCAATTTTTTTTAATGTATAATTAATATTTGTTTGTCAAATGCCATTTACAGAGTGCTTTGGAAAAAAAAAAATATGTTGTCATTTCTTCATATTAGAGATGAGAAAAGTGGAAGTTTTTCAAATCAGAAACTTTAAAAATGAAAAACCCAGTGTCGTGCCTAGCCTTAATTAGAGAAGCATAAGGCAAATTATAACAGATGTTATTATTTTGTTTTGTTTAAATTTTAATTTCTATTTATAGTTGATTTATTGTTCATACTATTATAGTTTTTTAAAATAAAATCTAATTTTAAATATCATAACATCTTTGTTTCAGTTGTCTCTCATATATATATATATATATATACATAATTTTTTTTACTATACATAACAAACAAAATTATGTATCTTACATTTTTAGTTAAAGTTACAAAAAAATATGGCCCTTAATTAGAAACAAATTTGGTGGCTTAAGGCAGTTGCTTTTTTTTATACATGTAAGGCACGGCTCTGGAAAGACCCTTACAATCATAAACTTGTGTAATATTTTTTTTTTTTTACTTTATTTTCTCAACACTTTGGACTAAGAATTTTGAACACAATATTCTATTTTTTAGAACATACAATTCGAGGTTTGCATTTTTTTCTAGAAGGGACTGAATCCTAAATCTGAAGCCAATATTTAGTCTTAGTAGGCCAATTTTTAAAGTAGACATTTTGAGATTTATTTTTAATGTTGGATGCGTTGTATCCTTTTTTTTCTTACTCTATTTCATCGACAAATAAATATAGAAATATGTATAATTTAAATTGTCCTTAATCTATTTTCATAAAATTTGGTATATAATTGCGAAGACATGGCTTTTGTTAATTTTTTTTTTTTAAAAAAAACTCTGTGCACATAAAGTATTCTAGAATAAAAACTTGTACTTCCTTACTCTATTTCATTGACCCATAAATACAGAAAGTTGTGTACTTTTCTTAAAATCTATTTCCATAAGATTTGATATATTAACTTAATTAACACATATTATGATAATTATGATATATTTCATTAATTTAACATGTGTTATAATAATTTTATATTTTCTTTAATCTATTTCCATCAGATTTGAAAACATGGTTTATTGTTTTCTTTTCATTTCAAAAAACAGATTGTTGCTGAAGTGACGACTGACATAGCAGAATGAGAAGATAACTAAGATAACTTTATATATATAGTAGAATTTGACCCACGCATTATAAAAATTTGATTGTATGTAAAATTATTTTTTTTAATATGTTTTCTATTATTTTTTTTTGTTTATTGCAATACTGGTTATTTTTTTAATTAATTTTATGTTATTTTTGCTATAAAATTATTGGTTACTGATTTTATTATGTTGTAAAACAAATTTGAATTTATAATGAAATCAATTTTTGTTTACTTTTAAATATTTTGTTCTTATTGAAGTTGTAATAAGAAGTTTGAACATAATTTGTGTAGGCAAAATTTAGTGGAATAGACATTAATTTTATGAACATTTTCTCTCTTCTTTGTTGCTACCTCTCAGAAGGTTATGAGGTTTTACATATCTTTACAGCTTATCTTTTTTCTTTTTAGATCATTAGTTTTTTTTTGTCGACGTTAAGAATCCGTTTATAACTTACTTTCACGTTACTTCTTTATATTCTCATCTAAACCAATTATATTTATAAGAACCATATTACATCTTCTTTCTATCATTTTTCAACTCATTTTTTTTCTTGGTCTCACACATCAATATGCACATAAGGCCATATCCTTAGATCTCTTTATCCTGCTTATATCCCGAAATTTTTTGGTTTTTTTAATTTCTATTTAATTTATAGTTCTATTATCTTTTGCATATAGTCTGTTTTCACGTGAACATTTTTTAGGTTTATTGTTTATATTCAGTTATGTAATTTTGATTTTTCGTATTTTCTAATAGATATATATTAGTGTTTGTTTGTGTATTCATATTATAAAAAAATAACATTTGAAAGTTTTTGTTGCATAATTTTATTTCTCCTTGTTTCATGTAATTTTCTTTTTTATTGATTCCAGTGTACAATATTTTTTTAATTATTTAAAATTAGATTTTAGGGAATGTAAGAATTTTAGCTATTCTGATTTTTTTCATTAATATTTACTTTTAAATATATATAAAGAAATGTTTTCTTTCTTCTAGTGATGTCAATAAAAATCTGCCTATGTGGTAGCTGATGTGGTAGCACCAGAAGAGAGAAAAACTCTCTTTATATATATTAGGAGAGAACCTGCAGTATGCGCGGATCTTGTTTTAATTTGTATTTAAATAATATATTTTATAATTTTATAATTAAATTTTATTTTTAGTATTATTGTTTCTTCAACTTCTTCTTGATGATATTTGTAATCTTTTCTACGCCACCTCCAAATACTCTGATTTTTTTCCCACGATAATTAAAGGATAAAGATCTACTATTTTAATTTATGTATGAAAATGTAATAGTTCACGTATAAAAAAGGATAAAGATCTACTATTTTAATTTCTGTATAAAAACGTAGTAGTTCACGTAAACTATACGTTAAATACTAGAGAGGAATATTTATTTGTTCTTAGATCTTCATATTCTATACTTTTTTAAATCTTCCTAATATAATATTTGTTAACTTTCTCAAATTATCATTTTGAGTTTTTTTATTATATATTTTATTGATTTCATCTTTATTTATTTTAAAAAGAAAACTTTGTAGGACATCTTTATGTATCCATTCTTTTTTTTATTAATATTTTTTTAATAATTAAATTTTATCTCTTTGATCGTTTATTGAATATTCTTTTGTGTCTTATTTATTAGTTGGAGTTTTATTTTAAATTATTTAAAATGTCTTAACTTATTTTGTTTTATAATTTATTTTTTTCATTTGCATTAAAATTTAATTATATTTTTTTTTGAAAATGAAGTTTAAATCACTTGAAAAAAATATAATAGTGCAATTAAAATGTCTTGTATTGTATAATATTTAGAAATATTTATATATTTAAATTAAATTTGAATTTTATTTACTTAAAAAAATATTTATACACATATTAATATTTTTTATGTTCTTTAATTGTTTTTTTTTTTAAATTTGATTAATTATTTATTTTGTTTGCGCAGGAAAAAAAATTAATATGGACCAATGAAGGGGTGCTAAGGTATTATCGTTGGAGAGCTCCCTTCAACCATTATATATAAGATAGATATATTAAATGCTTGTTTAGTGTAATGTGCTGGACTACCAATTATTTTGAAAGAATTTTAATTTTTTTTTTGCATATAATTAATTTAATAAACTTTTAGAAACTAAATCTTACATCTATACTATTAAAATGCAAGTATGTTTTGTATCCAAACATAATTTAGTTAGTTTTCTGCTATTCTGTTTTTGATATCTACTATTTATGTTGCCAAACATATTTTTAACTTGATTATTTTTTTTTCAAAAATTAAAAATTTAATATTGGAATTTTGTGTTTAAAATTAATTCCAACAAAATTTAAATTTGAATTCAATAAGTTTAGATTTTCTTAGATATAGGTTAGAATAATTATCAAAACTACAAAAACAGTTGTTATTATTTTTATAAAAATAGTAATAATGATATTAATTTATTTTATATTTAAATATTCAAATTTAAATAATATTCTCATAATGATAAAGATGATAAATGATATATTATTATATATTTTTATAATCATTCAATTTAAAATTTTTTTTGTCGACAAATTTAAATATTTAAAATTAAAAAAATATTTATGTTATATGGTAATATAAACAGACCGCATAGAATTATATTTTTATATTCATGATTTTTTTTTGGTTTAATGGAATGGACAGGTTAAAATAATATTTTTATTATCATTTTAAAAATAAATTTTATCTAAAAATAAAATAAAATTGTGTCATTTATAAAAAATATTATATCTATAAAAAACACATTACTTTATAAAATTAGATTAAAAAATTCAAAATTTCTCGTACGGACGCACGAGATAGAATCTAGTTAATATTAATTACTATGTAAAAGTTTCAAAATTACTAACTCATCTTATCATAATACGTGTTAAGTTAATAAATTAAATTTTGATATGTGTAATTGATTTAATTAGTAATTGAAGGAAATGACTCCAAACTCATCTTCAAGTTTAAACCGTTTTTGAGTAAGTGCTTCCGCATGGAAAGATTTCAACCCACTCATGTGATTTTTGGGGATTGAAGTATATGAGTCTATCGTTGAAACGATGAATTTATTTGTATGCTTTAAACATCATCTTGGAGAAGTGATTGCTTGTAGCAAAACTGGTGGATACACCCATTGAACAGAATCCACAATTTGACAGAAGATGAAAGAGAGTATTTTTCAAAAACAAAACGATATTGTTGTCTCCAAATTTGGTGTATTTGGTGATTACTCGGCCTGCTTTATGTAGTCACCTCTTACCCGACATTGAAAAACATTATTATGTATATTCCGTGTAACATTCCAATTCCAGCCCAATTGGGAAAAGCCCATCAAAACTAAGCTCGTTCCAGCAACCCTAATTTGCCCCCATATTTAAGTGAAAAGTTAAATGAGGAGGAGCCTCATTTTCATTCTATTAACCCTAGCCACCAAAGCAAAAAGAAAGAGAGAGAAAAAGGGAAGCTTGCCGCCACCACCTGAGCTCGCCGCCGCCGCTGTCTGAGAGGAGAAGGAGTAGTCGTCAGCCTCCTCCTTCACAAAAACTCCTTGATTCCTTTGCCACCAGTTCTCCTTAAGTCAGATCTGCTTTTAGGCCAATGTGAGGATTAGATCTAGGGTCTTCTTCTTATTCCTTTGTCTTCTTCTGGTGTGTGGAGTCTAGATCAAATGAGCCTAGGATGATTTCTTGTGCATCTAGTTAGATCCATGTGTGAGTCTAATGAAATGAATTAGGATCTCATTAGAGGAAGAGCCAACATATTTGATTTTTCACCCTATTGTGTGGTTAGTGATTGGTAAAATAGTTAGATCAGGTGTTCATCTCGGTGATGATGTGCCGAGTTATGGACTTGTTTGCTGGGCTATTGCTGTTTGTGTGACTAAAGCGGTAGTTCAACGGTGGGGGAAGGTACGTCGATCCTTCTGGAGTCTATATGACTAGAGGCTTGTCTGTGTGACTGCCTGGTATTATGTCTGTGTGATATGGGAGATGTGGTCCTAGTCTGTGTGACTGGGAGGTATGGCCTTGTGTGAAGGGCGGGTTGGAGACATCATAATTGCTTGCTAGTTGTTTGTGCATCGCTAGGATGCTTGTGTGTTGCTTGTTGGATTTATTCTTGACATGTTGGTGGAAAATAAATGAGTGGAAAGGGAGCCTGGTTTGGTTCTCACTGAGTAATTTCCCAAATTACTCACCCTTCTCTCTCAAATCCATATTGCAGGTGAGTGTGATGAATGTGATTGTGATGATGTCTGAGAGGAAATAGACAAGCTCTAGTGTGGTGTGCCTTCAGAGATGGAGGAAGATTTTTATTGCTTTAAAAACTATTTTTCGTATTTTCTTTTAAGATATTGTTTTCTGCTTATTTTCGGATTTATTCGAGTTATTCATTTCTGTTGTAAGACTGGATTTGGTTTGATTTGGAATAAGATTTAAAGAATTGTTCAGGAATTATTGGTTAGATTAGATAATACTGCCGGTTTAGTCTGGTTTTTTTTTGAACCCAGGACGGGATGTTACAATTGGTATTAGAACCTAGGTTCGAGTTAGAAATAGAGAGAGAGTCTAGTCTAGAGTAGTGGAATTGGGAATTAGATTCTAAAAAAAATGAATATATTTAAAAAAAAAGTTTTCAAATATTTCCGAGTTTTCCAAAAAAAAATTGAATTTTTCAGGATTAAAAAAAAATTGGATTTTAAAAAATATATATATATATATATATATATGGTTTTTAAGAGTTTTCAAAGTTCAAAGATTTTTCAAATGGTTCAAACAAAGAAAACCACTACCTAGATCAGCTTCTCTAGTTATTGTTTGTTTAATTTATTTGCAGGGTTTAGGAGGCATCTACCTAGATCAGCTTCTCTAGTTATTGTCTGTTTTCTCGTGTTGTGCGATGTAGATGCCTCCGAAAGCCAGAAATGTGTGCACCAGATCCCAAGCTCGTCGTTCAAGTGGGGATGAGGAGACCACTGATACGACAGGAAGTGTGAACCGAATTTCAGTGAACCAGCAGGCTGGAAATCCTGAGAGATGTACCTGTTCAAGTGCCTACAGCCGCAGCAGAAGCAGCTCATGCTGCAGTCTTGGAGGAGCTGCAACGCTATCGGGAGATGTATGGTCACTTGAACCAGGGAGTAGGTGTGAATGCTCAGCAGCAGCAGGAGCATCAGCAGAATGTGCCCCCGCCGCTAGTGCATGAGCCGCCGCCTGTGGTTGTGCCGCCAGTGTTTGTTCAACCTCAGAATGTGCCGCTGCTAGTGTTTGTTCAGCAGCAGTATGTGCCTCCGCCTCCTGCGTCAATATATTTGGGCTGACATATTATCAGGCCATGAAACACCTGAATGATATGGGAATGGAAGCTTTTGGTGGGAGGTCTGACCCAGTGTCTGCAGATAACAAGAGGAAGAGGTTGGAGAGGAATTTTGATGCCATGAGATGTCCGGATGGTTACCGGAAGGACTTAGCCGTGCAGTATCTAAAGGAGGAGGCGCTGATATGGTGGGATGGTGGATGGTGTGCTGGAAGCAACTCAGGGTCGGTATGAGTTGACGTACAATGATTTCAAGGAAGCGTTTGGTAAAGAGTATTTTCCACCCGAAGCCTTGGACCAGATGGAGAGTGCCTTTGAAGACCTGCGTCAGGAGAACCTCACTGTGAGGGAGTACAAGAAGGAGTTCAACAGGTTGAGGAGGTTCTCCAGGAAGCACTTCACTCAGGCTGACTTGGTCCGTCAATTCATGAAGGCTTGAAGTTGGAGTTGAGGAGCAGATGTTCTGTCAGGAGGTACTCCACATTAGTGGAACTTGTGGAGACAGCTGCCATTTAGGAAGCCAATTTGGATGAGCTGAGGAGGACCAGGCAGGGTCAAGGCCGAGCACCCCGTGCCCTGGAGGCACCAAAGAAGACCTGGGATGATATGGCAGTGGGGAGAGCCAACGGGAATGCTCTAGAGTGTCCGCGTTGTGGGAAGAGACACACTGGACCGTGTGGAGTGATTAAGTGCTACGGATATGGAGGAGTGGGTCATCAAGGCAGGAATAGCCCAAGCGCTGCAAGGGTTGGCAAGTGTTATCGCTGCGGCAGATCAGGTCATTTCAAGAAAGATTGCAAGATTCCACCGCTTGTTCCGCAGGAAGGAGGAGCAGCACCAGGAGCACCACCAGCTAAGAGGCAGGCTGTTGGACCTCGTGTCTTCACCATTGGAGATCCTGAGGGAGCCGCACCGATCGCTGGTAAGTAAATGTTTGAGTGATTATATATGTTGCTTGTGAATAGGAATGTAGAATGGAAATGCATAACTAGACATAAGTATGAATCATGTAGGATCGGTCTCAGTAGGGAGCGCGATTGCATATACCTTGTTCGACACTGGTGCCACTCATACCTTCGTGAGCTCGAGGTTGATCAAGTGTTGGACTTTTTCTGGGAGGTTCATTCCTAGGTCTAAGGCAGTGGAAACTGCTGGGAATGAACAAGTAAGGACCATTGGGGTACATGAAAGTGTACCAATTTTGTTGGAAGGTGCAGGATTTCCATTTCAATTAACATCCCAATTCCAGCCCAATTGGAAAAAGCCCATCAAGACCAGGCCCGCTCCAGAAACCCTAATTTTCCCTTATATTTCAGTGAAGAATTAAATGAGGAGGAGCCTCATTTTCATTCTATTAACCCTAGCCACCAAAGCAAAAAGAAAGAGAGAGAAGAAGGGAAGCTTGCCGCCACCGAGGAAGAGAAGGGAAGCCGCCGCCGCCGCCGTCTGAGAGGAGAAGGAGTGGTCGTCAGCCTCCTCTTTCACAAAAACTCCTTGATTCCTTTGCCACCAGTTCTCTTTAAGTCAGATCTGCTTTTAGGCCAAGGTGAGGATTAGATCTAGGGTCTTCTTCTTATTCCTTTGTCTTCTTCTGGTGTGTGGAGTCTAGATCTGATGAGCCTAGGATGTTTCCTTGTGCATCTAGCTAGATACATGTGTGAGTCTAATGAAATGAATTAGGATCTCATTAGAGGAAGAGCCAGCATATTTGATTGTTCACCCTGTTGTGTGGTTAGTGATTGGTAGAGTAGTTAGATCAGGTGTTCATCTCGGTGATGATGTGCCGAGTTATGGACTTGTTTGCTGGGCTATTGTTGTCTGTGTGACTAAAGTGGTAGTTCAACGGTGGGGGAAGGTACGCCGATCCTTCCGGAGTCTATATGACTGGAGGCTTGTCTGTGTGACTGCCTGGTATTATGTCTGTGTGACATGGGAGATGTGGTCCTAGTCTGTGTGACTGGGAGGTATGGCCTTGTGTGATGGGCGGGTTGGAGACATTATAATTGCTTGCTAGTTGTTTGTGCATCGCTAGGATGCTTGTTTGTTGCTTGTTGGATTTATTCTTGACATGTTGGTGGAAAATAAATTAGTGGGAAGGGAGCCTGGTTTGGTTCTCACTGAGTAATTTCCCAAATTACTCATCCCTCTCTCTCAAATTCATATTGCAGGTGAGTGTGATGAATGTGATTGTGATGATGTCTAGGAGGAACTAGACGAGTAGCTCTAGTGTGGTGTGCGTTCAGAGATGGAGAAAGATTTTTATTGCTTTAAGAACTATTTTTCGTTTTTTTAAGACATTGTTTTCTGCTTATTTTCGGATTTATTCGAGTTATTCATTTCTATTGTAAGACTGGATTTGGTTTGATTTGGAATAAAATTTAAAGAATTATTCAGAAATTATTGGTTAGGTTAGATAATACTGCCGGTTTAGTCTGATTTCCTTTGGAACCCAGGACCGGGTGTTACACTCCGGCATTTGAATAGCTCACTTGGCCCAGGTTTTATGCTAAGTTCTATCAATGATCTTTCTCTTTCATCTTATTGTCACCTAGACTGGATCTTTTTCCCATTAAGTCGGCAATCGTTAACTTACTATATTATAATATGGTGATATGATTGTGTCATGGACAACTAACAAACAACCTATTGTATCTATCGGGCCGGGGTTGAACTAGAGTATTGAACTATGATTGTTATACTCAGTGAGATAAAAATGGATGATCACGTTGCTAGAATCTATCGGTATTGTAGCTACCTCTTATGTCAAGACAACTAAATAACTAGCTGAGATTTTGACTAAGGCATTTGGGTGACAAAAATTCGGTTATTTACTTGGTAAGTGGGACATTTGAGATCTACATGTACCCATTTGAGGAAGAGTATTAGTATAGTATAATGACGTGAGTTGGGTTTTATTTTAGGACACAATGATCTAGCTGCATGATCTTCTCAAAGTTTAATTCCTAGAACTACTCTGCAAGAGCACAGATGTGCAGTTGTAGTATGTAGGGATCGAACCACAGAGACGACAGATTCGCTTAATAAACCTATTAGAATTGAATTACGGTAAGCAGAAATAATGAAATTAAAACAGCAACGCAATAGAAATGTTCGTAAAACTCGATTTGACAAAGATTAGGCCTAGGGTATTTCTCAGGAAATCAGAGAACGTGGATAAATCAATTAGTCAGGACTCAAATTAAGCGCGGTTCTTGAACTCAAATCACGAAATTATAATTAACCAAATTTCGTTGCGAGAATTATCTAAGTCTAAATCCTAAAATCCCAAATTTCTTTGCAAATCCTAAAGATGTAAACTAGCCTTAAGTGCAGGTTCGATATGTTGACAAAGTATCTAAACCAAATTTCTTTGCGGATAGCTACTTTGCTCACCCTACGATTATTCAATTACACTTTTGCATCAATCAATTAAACTAAGATCTAAGTTCTAAGTGATCAGTGCAGAATTAGCTTTAAGATCAACCTATGGTGAAGAACTAATCAGATTATGAACCCTAACTAGCAAATCAATCCAGCATTCAATGAAATCCTTTTAGAGAACCCTAAACCTAACAAGCTAACTACTCAGACATAAATATTGAAGCAACAGACATGAATGAATAGATTGCAAATAAGAAATCACTGAATAAATAACAGGGGTTCGAAATCTTCTCTCAAAACGAACAAAGTTCAGACTTGTCTCCCCAAAAGCTCTCAAAAGTAAAGATGAATCTAAGACAAAAGTTTTCCCTCTGTAAAATCTAAAGTGTGTCGATCAGGGTTGTTCCACGAAAAAAAAAATCAATAAATTAAAAGGTTTAAGGCAATATATTAAAAAAGTTGGGTATTCAAGAAATCTTTAGGGGTTCATGGACGGACTTATTCAAGTTAAGTTCATAGTGGCAACCATACCTATTCGTTCTAGAATCCAAAACACTGTTTTATGACTAGCCCACTCTTGGGGCAATGATCAACTCTATCTATCAATCTAATCAATCATCTCTTGCATGTAATTGAAAGAATAAATAAGAAATATTTCAGATCAGGTCAGATATGCTCTGAAGAATCTATAACTACACTTTAGCAAGCGATGGAGTTAAGTGTAGCACTCTAATTTAGATTTATTTTTTAGCCAACACTTAGTTAAATTTCTATATTGATTGACTTAACATTTTCGCGAACTGGATCAAATAGACAAGTCTTTACAGAACATAAGTGAATTAAACAGAAATACTTGTATTACAAATGAGGTTCTAGTACAATAATCAGTTTGCATATAAGCTAATACATTGCTACACTAGAGCTTCTACCCAACATTCTACCATATCTTCCTTCACAGTCTTAGTCTATGGACGCTGATCAGACATTCATGTCACTTGCGTCCATAAAAGAAGGTATAAGCAACATAATTGCTTAGTAAGAATGGTCATCCCATCTCACCGAACAGAGTTGTAAACAAACATCAACCACATAGTCAAGATAACGCTTATCACAACAGAAAACTATCTATGCATAAGCATGCACGCTTACCCAATCGATCCTTCCACAACCAAACATGCTTTAGCAAGCATCTCAGTCCCAAGCTCAATGCATGATCTAGATTGCCGGGTAAGGTTAATCAGTCACCACAATAACCAGCAGGTTATAAACGATGATAAGTCAAACAGGTGCAAACAAGCTCACAAGCAAGCAATCAGAACTAAATATATATGCATGAAAACAACCCAAACTAATAGCCAAGGTCACACACTCACCTTAACTTTTCTCGGATTCGGTAAGAACAGATTCTCTATTCGCCCATACATGTTCTCTTGATCACTCGGCTAGATTCTTAACACGCTCAGATAAAATCTCAATCCTTTGGCTAGAATCAGATTTCTCTCAGCTACAATTGATTTCTCTGGGGTATTTTCTCTTCTAAATTTCTGTCTGAATCTTTTAGAATTCTTGCTCATGCAAAAAATAAAAATGAGCTGGAAGTCCTTCTTAAATAGGCGCTCCTCATTTTCCCCGAAGAAAACAACCCAGAAACCGTTTTCCTTACTAAAACTGTTCACGTGTGTCATTTTTTCTCGAGCTTAATAGTTCTCGCGTAAACACCTACTTGGTTAAAATCAGAGAACCGTTCACACACTTTTTCCTTGGCACTCCTACAACATCATTGTTCTTGCTTAACTTTTCTCCTTGGAGTATCAAATTTTCCGATAACCGCTTACCAACCTTGTCTGATTTTGACCAAACTTGTCTGAATCCCGATCAACTCCCCAAATACACACTTTGTCCAAATTTCCACTCAGACTTAGCAAAATTCAAGGACAAACTAATTTTAACTCGAGTGAAACTCATTTAAATCGGTGAAAATTGGATTTAGCTCGGCAATCACCTGAACTACTTGATTTTCTCTGACAAAACTTATATTCCCCGACAAACCCTTGTTTTATCGCACATACCGGATTTCCTCAGACTTTCTCCTTTACACCACTCATACTATCCTTAACAACTCATACATTAAGCCCATCTCAATTAAGTTTTCCAATTAATTAGTCAAGTAGAATGCAAGAAATGATGGTCTAAAATCAGTTAATAAATTATCAAAGAAGTAACATGCATTAAAATAAAAGAATAAGATGAAAAATTATGTTCATCAAAAACGCCAATCTAATCTCCTAACTTATTTATCGAGCCATGTAATCCTCCTTAAAAATACCTTGTTCCAACAAGTTATATACTATCACATATTCACATGGATATAAAAACCAAAGCAAAAGCAGATAAACTCATATTCAATAAGATTAATAGAAAAAGGTTCAAGAAACTTCTAATGCAATACAAAAGGCGAGATCTTCCCCCTTATATTACCAAATATAAAACATAAGAGATCTAAACAAAACTAAGAGATTGCTTGTGTTGTGTAGCTGTGGTGGCTTAATAATTTTGTGTCTGCTCTTGTGTTTATATAGTGGTGTAGGTCAATTATGGGAAATCTCAATAAATCGGAAATGTCTTTTTTCTTGCATAGATGAAACTCCGGGACCATGTCTTCCTTGCATGTCTTTACACAACACTTTGGATAGATATGAGTGACAATTTACTTGTGATTCTGGCTGATCATGACTGGTCTGCCACTTTATCTAGTGTGAACACATTGGATTAGATCGATTATGGATCAAGTTGCACAATATGGATTAGATTCTGATACCATGTTAAAAGTACATGAGTTTCCAACACAACCAAATAGTTATGAATGAATTGACTCATATCGTTTCTATATTATATAAGATTCATTATAACTTTCAGTATGATATATTATTTCCAAATACGTCTATTTGAGATAATGGCTCTATGGCCAATGATTTTGGTATATTAAAGCATAAATCTAGCCCTGGGCATTCAGGTCCGTGGTTCGGATTGGTTCGGACTTTTTGGGTAGGGAAGAATTGGACCCATTTGGGTTTCGAGAAAATTATGGTTCGGTTCGGTTCGGGTCTTTTTATGGTCCATGATTTTAAAATAGAACCGATGTAAAACAAAAAAAAAAATTTCGGGTATGATTTTACCCGAAAACCTGAATTAGAGACCTGAAAAACCCAAATTCAGTCTCTAAAATTTGAAACCCTAGCGAAATCAAAATGTTGAAATTGTTAAGAACGGCGCTCATTACGTCGGAGTAAGGAGGGTGGTTAAAAGATGAGAACTTGTTGCAGCGGTGGTCGAAAGAACTTGTTGCGGCGGCACAGCACGGTGGTCGAAAGAACTTGTCGCGGCGGCACAGCACGGTGGTGGAAGAGTTAGCACAGATGAAGAATGGGTGTTGGGCAGCGGTGAAGGGGTTGGAGTTGGTGAAAGGTGGAAGGGCGGTGAACGAGAGGATGGTGAGGATCATTGGGTACAAAGAGATAAGGATCCATGGATTTAGATGTTAGAGATATGATACATGAGGAAGACGATAAGATTTTCTTTTTTTTTTTTTTTTTTTTTCGCCTAAAAACTTTTATTAATGAAGGATAGGTACAAAGTCTGAATGTAATTCATTTGTAATAATATGTGGAACATAGAAATAGAACACATAATTCTGTAATGGAGTAAGAGGATGTTTTGCCAAAATATCAGCTGGTTTGTTGAATC